GTGAGCTGAGATCAAGCCCCTGCACTCCAGCCTGGCGCCTACAGACAGAGTGAGACACTGTCTCAAAAAAGAGACTCAGTTCAGAAAAAACATGAACACTTACAAATACAAACTATGTAACAACAGAACAACAAATAGTCATGGAAAGTCACAGACGTGTCTTCTAATCCTACAGTCAAAATAATATTTGCTATAACCAATAGCTAATAAAAATGTAGACTACTATATGTTATCTAGAAAACTAAAAAAAATTTCTTTTAAAAGAATTTTTGAAAAAAAAAGTTCACATTGCAAAATAAAAATCCCTAATAAAAAAATTTAAACACACAAGTTTTTTAAAAAGACTAAATATTGATGATAGTGCTCCACAGGCTATTCCAGATGTACATAAAAGAAGGCAGGTCAGTGAACAGGTGTCCAAGCCAAAGATCCAGTACTCAGGGTAGGTGTCCATACAGGCTGGTGCAGCCGGTTTTCTCTCTCGTTTCCTTTTTTCCTCTCTCAGTTTACAGCACAAACCAAGCTAAAATGCTAGCTCAACTCCTCGCTTTTGACTTCAAAACAACCCAGCTCACCAGCCGGGCATGGTGGCAGTAGCTCACACTTGTAATCCCAGCACTTTGGGAGGCAGAGGCAGGTGGATCACCTGAGGTCAGGAGTTTCAGAACAGCCTTAGCAACATGGTGAAACCCTGTCTCTACTAAAAATACATAAATTAGCTGGGCATGGTGGTGTATGCATGTAATCCCAGCCACTCGGGAGGCTGAGGCAGGAGAATCCCTGGGAGGCAGAGGTTGCACTGAGCCGAGATCACGCCATTACACTCCAGCCTGGGTGACAGAGCAAGACTCCATCTCAAAAAAGCAACCCAACTCTTGACTGGGCCACGAGATGCCCAGACATTTGGTCAAACATTATAGTAGTTGTTTCTGAAGGGTGTTTCTGGATATGATTAATATTTGAATTGGTAGTTAGAGTAAAGCAGATTGCCCTACCTAATGTGGGTAATTCTCATCCAATCAGTTGAAAGCCTCAATAGAACAAAAAGCCTGACCTCCTGTGATTAAGAGGGAATTCCCTTCTGCCTGAGTTCCTGAAACTGGGACCTCATTTTTTTCCCCTGCCTTTAAACTCAAACTGAAACACTGACTCTTCCTGGGTCTCGAAGCTGTTGGCATTTGAACTGGAACTAAGGCTGACCCCTGTACAACACAGGGATTATAGGCAACAACCTCTATCCCTCACCCCATACAGTTAAAAACACTTAACTACTGAAAGCCTACTGTTGACCACAAGCCTACTGTGTTTGTGTTCCCCAAACACTTAACTACTGAAACCCTACTGTTGACCATAAGCCTTACCAATAACATAAACAGTTGATTAACACATATTTTGAATATTATATATATTATACATTGTAACCTCACAATAAAGTAAGCTAGAGAAAAAAAAATATTAAGAAAGTCATAATAGGCCAGGCACAGTGGCTCATGCCTGTAATCCCAGCACTTTGGGAGGCCGAGGCAGGCAGATCACCTGAGGTCAAGAGTTCAAGACCAGCCTGGCCAAAATGGTGAAACCCCGGTCTCAACTAAAAATACAAAAAGAAAAAGAAGGTCTTAAGAAAATACATTTACGAGCCTATGGTGTTATTCAAGGTTTACAGTACTACACTGAACATGATGAAAATATGCAAGAACTGTGAGATGACTTTACTGTAATACATAATTTACTGTACAGACAAACTGCTCAAGCTGAGATGATAAGCATCACATGCCATTTTAAGCAGATACTTGTAACACTTATAGGCTCACCACAATAGCAACAGGGTGGGGCTATGAGATTACAATAGTAGCACAGAATGTGCTACAGTTAATTTTATGTAGTTTATAATTTAATTCTGCATCTTTACATTTGTTTACATTTCTCTCTACTGGGAATGGCACCACGTACGATCTGTACATTTGTGTGCATGTGTTTTCATAAATTTTAACTTTTAGCAATAGATTTCTGTATATCTCATGTTAGTAATTAGGACTAGTATATATTTTATGCATTTATATATACTTAACTTTTTCCTACTTTTTGGATACTTCTGGGCTATGTGGTTCATCTGCAAGGTTTTTCAAATTGTTACAGATCTCCAAAAAATTTCCGATATACTTATTGAAAAAAATCCGCATATAACTGGACCCATGCAGGTCAAACCTGTGTATTTCAAGGATCAACTATACATCAGCACTACTCTGGTTTTCAGGTTTTTGGAATCAGACTAGAACTACAACATTTGGCTCTTCTGGGTCTCCAACTTGCCAGCTGCAGATCTTAAGACTTGTCAACCTCCACAACCTCCACCTTTCTAGCTCTCTTTTGGAGGTGGGGGGGGAGGGAATGTGTAAATGAGAGAGAGAGGGAGAGAAACAGAAATATATACAGTTCTGTTTCTCTGAAGAACCCTAATACATCTACCTACTTAACACATCAAATTCCTAATAAGATCAAAACTCTTTTAAATTAATAATACATAACGATGTCAATGGCAGAGCAAAATTCTCACATCGCTTGAAGAGGGTCTAATTTAAAACCTTTCTGAACAGTCATTTCAAAGAATGCATTAAAACTGTAAAACTGTGTGTAGTTTTGTTTTGTTTTTGTTTTTGTTTTTGAGATGGAGTCTCCCTCTGATGCCTCGGCTGGAGTGCTGTGGCGCTACCTCAGCTCACTGCGACCTCCGCCTCCCAGGTTCAAAGGATTCTCCTGACTCAGCCTCCCAAGTAGCTGGGATTACAGGCGCCTGCCAGGACACCTGGCTAATTTTTGTATTTTTAGTTGAGACAGCGTTTCACCATGTTGGCCAGGCTGCTCTCTAACTCCTGACCTTAGGTGATCCACCCACCTCGACCTTCCAAAGTGCTACGATTACAGGCGTGAACCAACCCACAAAACTGTGTGTAGTTTCTTATCAGATAATTTTATTTTCTGGTGAATGTACACACACACACACACACACATACACACACACACACACAAACACACACACAAAGAACATAATTAGAACTATAATCAATGATCTGTGTCCTCTGGATACCAGCTATTTGACTCTGTTACACATGTCAGTAACGTATATAACAGAGTCAAATTAGACACAACCAAATGTCCAACAATAGGAAAATCATTAAACAAATTACATCACTTTCAAAGGATATAATATTATACAACTGATTAAGATATTTTCAAAGATTGGTCAAAAACATGGAAAAATCATCATAATATAATGACAAATTTTAGAATGGGGAAAGTCAGTGGTATTCAGTTGTCCAGATTAGAGTAAAAGGCTACAATGTTGACAGTAATTATTTCAAACTAGGGGATAACAGGTGAATTTTTCTGTATTTAATATTTATAATTAGACTAAACTACCTTTAAAAGAAAGATAATGGAGGTCTAAAAAGCATTATCCAGAACTGTTCAAAGAAAATCCTATTAAATGACTTCATTAAGATTCTATGAATAATTGTGGATGAAGACAGTTTTTAAAACAAATCTATAAAAACTGTAAGGCTTTTTATAACATGTTATTTTAAAAACCTGAGCTTTTCAATACAGCTAAAGACATGAACTGAATTGTGATCTCCTAAAATTCATCTGTTGAAGCCCTAACTCCAAATCCAACTATAATTGGAGATAGGGCCTCTCAAGGGATAATTAAGGTTAAACGAGATCATGTGAGTGGGGCCCTAATCCAGTAAGACTAGCATATTTATAAGAAAATAAACACCAGGGATGCACATGCACAGAGAAAAGGCCATGGGAGCACAAAGTGAGAAGGTGGCCACCTGTAAGCCAAGGAGGCAGGCCTTGGCGGAAACCAAATCTGCCAGTGCTTTGATCTTGGACTTCCAGCCACCTGAAGTGTGAGGAAATAAACTTCTGTTTTTTAAACCAAGCAGTCTGTGGTATTTTATTACGGCAACCCTTGCAAACTAACGTAAAACGTAACAAAGTACCTGGTAAATATTCTTTCTTCTATAATTTACTTTTAGGAGGGAGCAAATCAAGAAATAAACAGTAAAAAATGTTCTTCATATCACAGTGTCAAGGCATAGAAGGGGCAAGAAATCATATTTCCAAATAAAATGTTATTAGCTGGCACTATTAAAGAGAAATAAGGAGTAGGATAGGGAACATAAGCACTGTGGATAGGTTTTTTGAAAAGTTGTTCAGGTTTACAGTGATTACTGTCTATCTCAAAATGTTCCATAGGCTGGGTACAATGACTCAGGCTCACAGGTGTAATCCCAACCCTTTAGAATGCCAAGGCAGGAGAATGGCTTGAGCCCAACAGTTTGAGACCAGCCTGGGCAACATAGTGAGACCCCAACTCTACAAAAAATTAAAAAAAAAAGAATTACCCAGGCATAATGGCATGCACCTGTGGCCCCAGTTACTGGGAAGGATGAAGTCGGAGGATCACTTGAGCCCAAACGTCCAGGCTGTAGTGAGCCGTGATTGCACCACTGCAATCTAGCCCAGCCTGAGCGACAGAGGAAGACCATGTCTCAAAAGTGAACCACAAAGTTTATAAAAGATTCTGCATAACATAATAGAAAAGATTTTAAATATATTCATTTTATTTGTTCACGGTATCTCCCAGTGCTCAAAACATTGTGTGTGTGTGTGTGTGTGTGTGTGTGTGTGTGTGTGTGTGTGGGGATATGTACAGATACATATACATTCCTACAGAAATATAACTCTAAAAGCAATTTCAATCTTATGATTACTACTGGCAGTATACCTACGAAGGAAAACATTCCTTTCCCAATCTTTTGTATTAGATTAACATGCAAGTTTCTTTTTATTTAAACTCAATTGTCAACACATTCATCTTTTTAGAATTTTCAACTACATTGCAGGGAGCATATTTAAAAAAAAAAAAAGACCTTTTCATTTTCAGACCAAATTAAAATATCAGTTACCACTCTGATTTTTTCCAGAATTACCTTGTCTGGATCCATCTTTCCTTTGATAAATTCTTGCTTCCAAAACTGCAATGCTTGTTCCAAAGTTAAACCAATGCCCTTCAGAAATAGGCCATACTGCATTCGGCCTCCATGACGAAGATGGTGATTTTCCCGCAAGGCTTTATGTAACTGACGCATGCAAGGTGGGAAGGATTTGGTAGAAAGCTACAAGAAAAAACAGTTTTAAGTTATGTGGAAGACTTATTAGATCCCCAATAATATTTGTTATGGTTGCAAACTCGATTTAATTGGAACAAAAAACAAATGCCATAAGAAAGTACCACTTTATTATTGTGGTTACAGATGACCTATCTGTATCAGATGTTCCTTAACTTCTTTTATTGGTTACAAGTTAATGTAATATTTTAGATACTTCGGTTTAAATAACATACTATTAAAATTTTACCTGTTTCTTTTATAAATTTAATTAAACTTTTTTTTTAATTAAATAATGAAGTTACCTCTAGACCCCCATACAGTTAAAAGAAATAATGCAAAGAGATAGCAAATACCTAAATTCCCCCCAAAGATAAAATCACGTAAAACTACAGTAGATTATCACAAACAGGATACTGACATTGATAAAATCCACTAGTCTTATTCAGGTTTCCTCAGTTGTATTCATGCACTTATTTCTGTATTAACTTTTATGCAATTTTGTCACATGTAGGATCATACATCCTCCCCCACAGTCAAGATGCAGAACAGTTCTGTCACCACAAAGTTCCCTCATGTTTTCCTTGTATAACCACCCCCATCTATCCTTTGCATCCTGTTACCCCTCCCCCAGTTCTGTAATCCTTGGCAACCACTGATCTGTTCTCCATCACTATAGTTTTGTCATTTCAAGAGTATTATATAATAGAATTATATAATATGTATTGTTTCAAGATTGTCATTTTTAACTCAGCAGAATTCCCTCAAGATTCATCTAAGTTGTATATAAGCTCATTTCTTTATTACTGAGTAGTTTTCCATGATACGAATGTATCATAATGTATTTATTCACTCATTGAAGAACACTTGGGTTGTTTCCAGTTTGGGCTATTTCAAATGAAGCTATTATGAGCATTCTTTAAGAGGTTTTTACGTGAATTTAAGATTTCATTTCCCTGAGATAAAAGTACAATTGCCAAATAGCAGATGAACTTTTAAGGTAACTCAAATATGAAGTAGAACACAAAAATAAGACATATTGTTCTCATAAGGAAAATTCAAATAAATGTGTTAAATCAAGTTAAAAGGAACAAAGTGTAGGTCTTTCCCTTAGTGTCAAAAATGAAATATCACTGCCCACTTTAATTTTTCACTTATGGTTTCAATTGCATTTGCTACAACTTCCTTAAATATCCTCCTCTCAAGACTTAAATTCTTACTTCTTCACATATGCCTTAGCAAGTTCACTTCCTCTATAAGAAAGAGCAGGTCTCACTTTGCTTGACTCTGGTGCTCCCTCTAGTGACCATCCAGTTTTTCACTCTTTTACAGTAACAACTTCTGAATTTTTCCAGCCCCAGTCTAGTTCATTCAGACCCATATCTTTCCTTGGTAGAACTAACTAGAATGTCTTTCAGCTCATTCTCTTGTGACCATTTTTATTCCTTCATATTAATATCTGACTTTTTTCCCTAAATATTGTTCTAATCCATACAATCAACGTTCAACATCCTTAGTATAAACATGCAAGGTTTCCTCAGTAGCTAACTCATTTTGAGATGGACTCTCAAAATTTATTATAATATATTATTATATTACTCTGTTGCCCAGGCTGCAGCGCAGCGGCGTCATCTCTGCTCACTGTAACCGCTACCTCTCAGATTCAAGCAATTCTCCTGCCTCGGCCTCTCAAGTAGCTGGGATTACAGGTGCCTGCCAAAATGCCCAGCTAATTTTTGTATTTTTAGTAGAGACAGGGTTTCAGCATGTTGGCCAGGCTGGTCTCAAACTCGTGACCACAGGTGATCCTCCTGCCTCGGCCTCCCAAAGTGCTAGGATTACAGCGCCCGGCCAATAACTACTTTCAATTATACAAAACTGAACAAATATTTATTAAGTGTTCTGGAAAATAAGAAAGTAAGACATAATTTCCCCTTTAATTCAGTTAAGGAAAAAGACACTACAATTATTATATTCACTAGTTTGTAACTTAACACAGGAAATAAAACGATAAAATGAGGCCTCCAACAAGGGCAAAACTTGAGCACCACAGAAGTACTGTGACAGGAAGATTGGGAAAGCCCAGTGTATTATTACTACGCAAAAATGAGTCCCCACTTCCAGTCCGCTGGGTTATTCACTATCCCATGACCATGCAGTCATGCTCTGTAGCTTCTCATCTTTCTCACTCTGCTAGCCCTACCTGGTGCACCCTTCCCACTCACAGGCCATCCAGCCAAAGCCAAGTCATCATTCAAGACCTAACTCAATTTCAATTTCTTTTGGCACATTCCTCAATTTTTATTTATTCAATCAACAAATATGTATTGAACACTTACTATGTGTACAGCCATGGGGAACCAGCAGTAAACAAAGAAGTAAAAAACCCTGTCCTCCACAGGGAGGGTAGTATCACACGCTGAGGTCTGTGGCAGGGAACTAGGGGAGGGACAGTCGGGGGCAGGGATAACATGGGGATAATGCCAGATATGGGTGATGGGGATGGAGGCAGCAAACCACATTGCCAAATATGTACCTATGCAACAATCCTGCATGTTCTTCACATGTACCCCAGAACCTAAAGTGCAATAATATATATATATGTAATTATATATTTATGTATATATATATATATATATATATATATATATATATATATATATATATATAAAACCCTGTCCTCAAAGAGCTTACATTCTAATTGGAGGAGGTGAACAATGAATACAGACATTAAAAAGATAACATCTGATGCCAAAGCACTGGAAATGACATAGGGGAATGAAATAAAGTGTGATTAGGAGAGAGATACTTCAATTTGGGTGGCCAGGGAAGCCTTTTTGAGGAGATGGCATTTCAACTAAGACATATATTTTAAGTTAGATTCCAGTGAAATGAAGATCCTGAGAAAGAAGGAAAGTGGTGTGCTAAAAGACAGCATGAGGTCCATGTGGCCAGAGCAAGCGAGTGAGCCAGAATGGAGCAGAAGACAAAATAGAAATGATGAGCACATATGGCTTCAGAAGCCATAAAATGAGTTTGGATTTTAGTCTATATATGATGAAAACCCACAAGAGGTTTCTGAACAGAAGACTGATGTGATCCACTGAACAAAGAGAACTCTGGCTGTTAGATAATGAAAAGACTACATAACAGTAAGAACGGAAGCAGGAGACATACTTAAGAGGTGTGGGCAGTAGTCCAAATAATAAAAATTTAAATAAAGATAGTGTCTGGCTACATACAGATGGAAAAATGATTATGGCAAATGAGCAAAAAGTCCAGGATAGGGGATGAATTATCAACTTGGATCTTGCAAAGGCCAAGAACAATAACAAGAATACTGCCAGTACACAAAACCATTAGCTGGGTGTTCAAATTATCAATGAATACAGGTGTGGGGGAGGGGTGGAGTAGCAACAAAGGAGATAACAGATGATACAATAAGATCACAAGGGTTTCAAAGGAGCTGGAGCTATAACAATGGAAGGCAGAGAAATGTGGATCAAGAAAGGTACTCACTGCACAAGTATGCACAAACTCACAGAGAAAGGTGTCTCTACTTGAAAGGGCCACAGCGGAAATAGCATTGAGAAAGCCAGATTTTTTTAGAAGAAAAATCTAAAGAAAACATTTGGAGAAGAGTTGCAAATATTAAAGGACATGCAAATGACATGCTGTTGTAAAGATCAAACAATTTAGATACAGAGGTAGGAGGCAGTCCAAAAAAAGACACATCTGTATTACTTACTGCAGGGTCTCAGGCACAGACCCAGGAAAGGATCGTCATCATAGCACTTAACATTATACTGCTCATTTATTATTGACTATGTTGTCCCTCTCCCTCATGTAAGGTCCATGAAGTTAGGAATATTTTCTGTTTTCCTCACTTCTGTATCCACAGCAAAATGGCTAGTACATAACTGATGGGCTCAATATATATTCATTAAATGAATTAATATTTCTGTGAACGCCAATGGCATCCAACCAAATTCACATTTGCTTGTGAATGGGGAAACATCTAGCTAGAAGTAGGAATAGAATTAACCTCCAACAACTCACATTATATAAACACAGATAACGAGTGGAAGTGAGAAGGGGGACTGTTTGAAATAAGTGTTTAATAAAAAATTAAAAGATTGGACATCTTTGAGAACAAATTTCAAATCAACAAATAAACGGTGTAAAGCAGGCAACCCTTTTGTTATTTCTAGACATATTAACTGCAAGTACTTTTTTATCATTTTCAAATGGAAGATGAACTATTCATTCTGATCCAAACTCACGGTCTCTCTCTACTAGTCTTATTACAGTTCTTGCTTCCAAGCATTAAAATCCATGTGTATTTTTAATTTATTGTGAATACTTTGGTAGTTGTCTAACCTAAGATTACTTATGGCTGGCTTATTTTCCCTTTTGTGTATGGAGTGCAAATTCTGTTATGTATTCAAGAGAAATTCTACAAGAATGGCAAATTCTACAAGAAATTCTACAAGAATCGGAAAATTCTACAAGAATGGCAAAGTTCCACATAACTATGGAACCGTAAAGTGAAATGATGCTAAAATTAGTTATCTATTAATGTCATAGTCTACACTAGATGATGAATTGTCTTCTCCCCCTGAAATTGATATATCAAGGTCCTGACTTCCAGTAGCTCCAAATGTGACTATATTTAGAGATGGGGCCTTTAAAGAAGTCACTAAGATTAAAGGGAGCCAAGGGAGTAGGGCCTGGTCCCAGGTACCCAGTGTCCATACAAGAAGAGGAGACACCACGGACGCATGCAAGCAGTGGGAAAACCACAGGAGAACACAGCAAGAAGGCAGCCATGTGAGAGACAAGAAAGGCCCTGGAAGAAATCAAAGCTACTGTCACCTTGATCTTGGATTTCGAGCCTCTTGAGAAAATAAATTTCTGTTATCATGACAGCCCTAACAAACTAATACACTTCGTGTTTTCCATTTCTCCTTTATTAAATGTATAAAGTATTTAAATGTAAACACAAACTCCATTTAGCTATTTTTTAAAATTCCTTTTTGGAATAATGATTAAATTCTGTTTTTATAAAAGTACAGATAATTTTCTGGTTAAATGATTTTCCTATCATGTTTTTTTAAATCATATGTATAGGACATGGGATTTTCTTTAAAATTAATCAGCCAGCAGTGAAATACCATTCTCTCCGTCTCCTCACCCAAAAGTCTTCCATTTCAGAAAATCTACGTTCCCTCCATTGACAAAGTTCTAAGTTTAAAAGAATGTGTTACTTACCGAATCAATCTGATCTAAAGAAATCTTCCCAGCATTTCCCTGGGTACTGTAATCTTGGCCAGTGTAGGAATGACTTTAAAAAAAAAAAAAAAAAGAACAAATGTTAAGACAGAGTCATAAAATACTTTTTATCCCTTCAAAGGAATTTTTTTTAATTCTGAAAATGATTAAAATAAGAAGGTATTTTACTTATAAACCTTAGCAGAAACATAGCCAATGTTTTAAATGTATTTAATAAAATTACTTTAAATAACTTACCCCAAAATAATATAAAAGTACAGTGACAGTCTGAACATCCTGACTCCTGGTCTAGAGCACCACTTCGATTCCTCAGAAGCATAATCCAAGTTGTTGTTAAAGTTCAAACCTCTACCATTTATCCTTTATTACTAGCATGACAACACAGCAAAAAAGCAGCTGGCACTTAAATTGGAAACCATCACTTAAAAGTAGTTGGTGAGCAAGTTACTTAATTATGTATTTTCTGTATGCCAGGTTCCTTACTGCCTAATGGAGGTAATAATGCCTGCTTTGCAGTATTGACAGGAGGTCTGAATTGTAATAATTTTTGTTAAAGAGCCTGACATAAAGTAATCAGTGTTTATTAAAATAAATAATATCTTAGTAGCACTTTACAGTGTGCAAAGAATCTTCCATAGCCTCTAATTAGATCCTCACGACTGCCCTGAGAGAGTGTTTCTATGTAACATTTGATGAATGTGAAAATGGAGGCTTGGAGGAGTTAGAAATTTGTTAGGATCAGAAAGCAAGTCAGCAGTGCAGTGGGAACTCAAACCTTTTGATTCCTAATTCCCTGTTTCCTCACTGTACCATATCATCCTCTTCCCTATAGTAAATTTCCTACAGGATTATCTTCAAATTAGGAAACATAACTTGGTATACAGTACCTAAAGCCACCCACCTCTGTAACGTTTCACCTCCTTCACACAACACAACCCATGCCCAACTCTAAGAACATAGACTCAGGTGCATGAGGGTGTGACACAGCAAAAAACAGCTGCTAGGTCACATAGAAATCCACAATCAAACCAAGGCTTCTACAAATCACAGTTAAAGAGAAATCCTGGAGTAAAATATTATGATCATAAAGAATTCCACCTGAGCAGCAGAGTAAGACTTTGTCTCTACAAATAATAAAACTAAAAAAAAAAATCTGGGCATGGTGGCATGCCTGTCGTCCTAGCTACTCTGGAGGCTGAGGTGAGAGGACTGCTTGAGCCAGGAAGATCAAGGCTGCAGTGAGCCATCATCATGTCTGGATACCCGAGCCTGGGCTACAGAGCGAGACTCTGTCAAAAAAAAAAAAAAAATCCAGACACTACTTTCTATCTGCTCAGTTACAGATTCTTCCTGCTGAACCACATATATGCTCAAGATGTTCTGTAGACAAGCTGTTTCCATAATCAATTTTGCTGATTAAACAATGGGTATGGATTATGAAACAAAACCACAGTATAGCTGGCTCACACGTGTAATACCAGCACTTTGGGAGGCTGAGGCAGGCAGATGACTTGAGCCCAGGAGTTTGAGGGTAGCCTAAGCAACATGGCAAACCTTGTCTCTACAAAAAATATAAAAATTGGCCAGGCATGGTGGTATGTGCTTACAGTCCCAGCTATTCGGGAGGCCGAAGTAGTAGGATGGTTGAGCCCTGAAGGTGTAGGATACAGTGAGCTGAGATTGTGCCTCACCATGGGTGACAGAATGAGACCCTGCAGGGGGAGAAAAAAAAAGGTACAGATTTTCCCTCCCTGCAAGTCCTCCTTCCACAGGCTAAGAGGGACCTGAGAATTACTCTGAGAGCAGAATGAGTAGAATGATACTGATGGAGACCAGAAGATGCCACCCCCAAAATATGAAGGATTATTGAGCAAAGGCAATTTAAAAAGAAGCAGATTCAGGAAAGCTCTCTGCCCTCCATATTTCTAAAAGCAAAACAGATTTACAAAGACAAAAGGCATCCTGCCAACCTTCTACCAATGAGAACCAAGGTTAATCAGTGAAGATAATTTCAGATTCTTATTATGTGGAGATGATACCAGAGAAATCTATATGTACAAGCTTTATTAGCTGGTCTTTATCTGCTATTTATTTGCCTTCTCACAAGTTGCTGCCACTGGAGACTCAAAGTCCTTTTCCTTTGCCATGTGATCTGTGGTTTGAATATTTGTCCCTTCCAAAATTCATGTTGAAATTTAATACCCAATGTGGCAGTGCTGAGAGGTGGAGCCTTTAAGAAGTGACTGGATCATGAGGACTCTGCCTTCATGAATGGATTAATCCATAATGGAGTAATGGATAAAGGATTAATAGATTAATGGGGTGCCATGGGAGGGAAACTTGTGGCTTTACAAAATGAGGTAGAGAGACTTTTTTAAGCTGGCATGTTAATACACTTAGCCTCCTCACCATGTGATACCCTACACCACCTCAAGGCTCTTCAGAAGCCCTACCAGCAAGAAAGCTCTCACCAGACGCACCCTCTCGACCTTGGACTTCCCATCCTCCATAACTGCAAGAAATAAATTTCTTTCTTTTATAAATTACCCAATTTCAGATATTCTGTTATAAGCAGAGAAAACTGATACAAAATGTTAATAAACTTTGTTTTTCTCCTATTAATCTGTCTTTTGTCACATGGGTCCATTCCAACCTATAGGGGTTGAAGAAAAAATTATTCTTCTTCCCCTACAAGACCAGATTCTAAAACATGTCTCCTCTTGTATTATTTTCCCTTGCCTTGTATTATCTTTCCCTTGAGTAACACATTTCTGACAACGTGTTATTGAATTCTACGCATTCCATTAACTGCAGTAGCACTATGGCATATAAAACCTATGCAAAGTTAAACTGATAGCTGCCATTTAACTTTCATGTTTTAGACTTTAGTACACAGCATAACCATAGAGTTGTTTCAGTGGAATCTTAGGAATAAAAACGTTATTTCATTTTCCAACATGTCTTACAGTAGAGCGAAGAGGCAGCATGGGGCATTGGGAACGGCAGAAGGCTAGGGGTATGAAGACCCATTCTTGGTTTCCATTTTTTAAATACCACTTCTGCAAACTGGAACAAGTCACTTAACCATTTTGATTTGCAGCATCCTAATTTGTAAAATGGCACTAATAATTTCAGCCCTGCCTAATTAACAGAAATGCTGGGAAAATCAAATGAAAAAATGTATCCAAAGTGGTAATTAAATCAGTAAAGCATACTCCAGTACACAGAGCAATTGCAGTCTTGACCAGTTAAGTACAGAAATAACAGGATTGCAAGGGAGGCAGCATGATCCTGTAGAGGAGCCATCACCCAGATGGGAAGTACTAGGCCATGCCATTGACCCTTATAAACCTCAGCCTCTTAGTTTATCAGCTAAAGGTGGTGACTACAATGATCTAATAGGATTGTTCAGATCAAATAGACAAATATGAAAGGCCTTTATAAATGGTAAAATGATGTACAAACAGAATTACAGTTATTGAGTAAATGAAGCCAAATAATTACTGTGCCACAAGGAAGTTGTTCTCAGCCCAGATTAATGCATACTATATTAAGTACAAAGAGAAGACACAGAAACAGGACATAAACATTTGCCTGAATGACAGTATAAAATGCTTGTTCTTCTACACCGCCCTAGAATATACAAAAGAGCTAAGTTTCAAGGAAAAAAGTAAAAAAGCAAGAGAATGGTAGCAATGATGAATGCAAAGGCTTTATTGGTATAAATGCCTACAGAGAGAATATAAGTAAACTTAAAGTGTGTAGACATCAAACTTCTAAAAATATTTATGACCGGGCCTAGTGGCTCATACCTCTCTATTCCCAGCACTTTGGGAAGCCAAGGCAGGAGGATTGCTTGAGCCCAGGAGTTAGAGATCAGCCTTTGCAACATAGCAAGACATCATCTCCACAAAAAATACAAAACAAACAAAAAAAATTAGCTGGTAGTGGTGGCACGCATCTGTGGCTCAGCTACTCAGGAGGCTGAGGTGGGAGAATTGCTTAAGCCTAGGAGTTTGAGGTTGCAGTGATTTCTGATCACATCACTGCACTCCAGCCTGGATGAGAGAGTGAGACCCTGTCTCAAAAATTAAAAAATAAACTATAAAAAAAGACATATATATAATTAATAGAAAGAAGGCCACCAGCCCATTACGGGCAAGTATGGAGGCCATGGGGGTGGGGATGAATATGACAGAAATGAATATGTTAAGCATCAGAATTAGGAATGGCATTTCTCCTCTACTCATCTATACTCAGAGAGGCTTACTTATGTCTGCATTAGAGGAGATGATAATAAACATCACAGTTACTTAATACATATTTGAACTAGTTATGGACAGATGTGGCTGGGGGCAGGGAGACTGTTAGATACAACACAAAAAAGGCAGATCATGAGAAGCCTTAATATTCCATGCTCTGTGGGCAGTGATAAACCATGAAAAGATCTGAAGCAAGAACTGACATAATCAAGTTTACACTTGAGAAACAAAGCAGTGTGGGGAAATGATTAAAAAGGCGTGGAACCGACAATGGAAAACTAACTGGAAGAATACTGTAGGCAATGTTATATCCAGGTGAGGGAAGATGAGAACGAGTCAAGTAGTGGTAATGGATAAAGAAAGGAAGGCAATAGATGGGTTCAGGAAATTTTCTGGAAAAGAATGGATATACTTTGATGACGAGGTTGAAAAGTCGGAATAATAGATCAGTTTCTAGCCTTAGTGAAACTGAGTGCTTCCAAGACATGATTTCATTTTCACCAAGATAAAGACTAGCCTAAAAAATCAAACTGCAATTCAGGAACAAACTTTCACATTTTTCTTCACTCGTCATCACATGTTTCCAGGTAATTTTTTTTTCCTCATAATAATGAAACTGACAGAAGCTCAAAAATCAAGATAGAGGAAAAACAAATAATGTTGTCGTAAAATAATAAAAACCCTGAAAAACAATTCACACTGGCTCATGAAACTGAGCCTTTGGCTTTTACTTCAAAGTGCCAAGAGATGGTTCTAAAGGAGAGTCCTAACAGGTAGCCAGGAAAAAAGA